TGTTTTAGAGTATGGTATTAAGCTTTTCTACCTTAATGGAGACCAAACCAGACCAAGTAACAGGTCAGATCTGTGGAGAAGCAACCCCGGCAGAACAGTCAGAATTCATGTTTGGTATTTTTGAGCTGTAAAACCACCTGTAATTTATTAAATGTAAGGTGGAGTTGTTTAATGTCATACTGTGGAACATTCTAGGACCCTCCACCAGAAAAATTACACAATAAAGCAGAGTACAAGACCAGGACTATCACTCTAATAACTATTACAAAAACTTATAATAGACAGTATTGCTGGGTTATAGAACAATATTCTATACTGAGGGTACAACTAAAATTAATTATTAAACTGCAGATTTTTGCTGTAATATAAAGAGCTCTAGAGAATAGAAATGACCAGGTTCAACATGATTGATTTTCCCTTTTGGATAGATCTTATCAAAATGCCATGTAACCAATGGTTCGTGTCCCCATCTGGGAGTATGAGTCAGCACATTCTAAAAAAAACAAAACAAACAAAAAGAAAAAAACATCGGGGGTAATATTTTTAGAAACTGTCAAAGTAGATGTAGCTAAAGGATATTTTGGCTTTAGAGCTTTCATAACATTGATTTGCATAAACAAATTTCTTTTTTGAATACCAAAAAATACAAAAACAGATTTAAGTATATTCATGGATATCAGTTGCATTACTTTATTCTGTTTTTGTCATTTTAACTTTTAACTTGATTATTCAAAAGAGAGAAAAGCGATGTGTTGAATACTACGAAATGGCACTTTTTCGTAGCTTGAATCCCATGAATATAAACAAGTGAATACAGATATACATATTTGTGAAGGGGGGGGTTGGGCCACGATAACTATATGGTCTTATTGTTCAATACATAATAGATGGAACAATAATTACTGTGGGGACTTTTTCTTTGCAGTACTGGGAAAGTTCGGGTTATTTTTCTGTACTATGATAAGATTTGAGATGTAGATGGTTGAATAAATAACTTCTGTGACTCATTATAGACTACTTAAGCGTTGCATTCTGTGATGTATTTATTGCAGTTGATATTTTTAACAATACTGTACATTAAAAGGCTTTTTGGGGATAATTCTGCTTTATGGTTTGGTTTCAGTACTAATATTTAAAGTCTATTTTTAGTTCACCATCATATTTGTTATCGTGACAGGCCTAGGGTTTCCTTGGGACCTATTACTCTCTTTCTCTCACTCTCTCTCTCCCTCCACCTCCCCTTTCTGTCTTTCTCTCTCTCGCTTTCTCTTTCTCTCTCTGTCTGTCACTCTCCCTTTCTCTCTACCTCTATCTCTCTTTCACTCTCTCATTGTACCACAGGGGTTTCAGTGTCTTCCTCTCTGTCTTTCTGTCTATCCCCCCATCATACCACTTTGTTTTCTGTGACTCTCTCTCTTTTTTCTAACCCCGCTCTCTCTCCTGTCATTCCACTATGTTTTCTGTCTCTCTCTCTCCTTCTCTCCCCACTCTCTCTCCTGTCATACCTCTCTCTCTCTTGTCGTACCACTGTCTTTTCTCTCTCCCCCTTTCTCTCCTGTTGTACCACTGTGTTTTCTAGGTGTCTCTCTCTCTCCTCTCTCTCTCTTTCCCTTTCTCTCTCTCTCTCTCTTTCCTGTTGTACCACTGTGTTTTCTGGATGTCTCTCTCTCTCCCCCTCTCTCTCTCTCTCTCTCTCTCTCTCTCTCTCTCTCTCTCTCTCTCTCTCTCTCTCTCTCTCTCTCTCTCTCTCTCTCTCTCCTGTTGTACCAATGTGTTTTCTGGGTGTCTCTCTCTCCCTCTCTCCCCCCTCTCTTTCTAATGTTGTACCACTTTGTTCTCTCTCTCTCTCTCTCCTGTTCTCCTGTTGTACCACTATGTTTTCATGTTTTCTGTCTCCCTCTCTCCCCCTCTCCTCTGTTTCTCTCCTGTTGTACCACTATGTTTTCTCTCTCTCCCTCTCTCCCCCTCTCATACCACTGTGTTCTCTCTCTCGCTCTCTCCCCTCTCTCTCTCCTGTTGTACCACTGTGTTTGTTCTTTCTCTCTCTCTCTCTTTCTCTCTTTCTTTCTCCTGTCACACGACTGTGTTCTCTCTCTCGCTCTCTCCCCTCTCTCTCTCCTGTTACACCACTGTGTTTTTTCTTTCTCTCTCCTGCTCGCTCTCTCCTGTCGTACCACTGTGTTTGATTTACCTCCAGGTCTGAGGTGCGTGCAGAGCATCCATTTGTCAGGAGCGCATTCCTCTTCAAGTGAAACATTGTGAACTGCCCATCACAGCTTCAACGCCGTCCAAATAAACACCAGTATAAGGCCTCGCCACGAGAATGAAACATCTATACAGTTAAAGATTTATGGACATGGGCGTGGATGACTGGGGACAATTACAGTGTTTAGTGGTCAACCTGAAGCAAGTTCAATGGGCTAATCCGTCTTTGATTATCTGGGCTAGAGCTCCGTATAAAAACTAAACAGACTTTTGAGACCTTAAACAGCCCGTACAGTATTATGCTATTTTCTGATCTCTGTTATAATGTTGTTTCCTCATCAAAAACATACCTGGAGTTATGTTTTGTCTCATTCACACATGTTTAACACACAAATCCTGCATGTTTAGGACGAGTTCTTCGCTCAAACAGAAAACACTCATGTGGTAATACAGGAAGTGCTCCACTGTGTTTTAAACTCCGTACGCCTTCACTTGAATAATTTGGATAATTTCCACCCTGGAATTGACAAGCTTTCCTAAACAAAAAGTTAAAAAGTAGCTGTTAACTTGAAAACTACCCCTACATGACATCACAAGGTGGGCCAGAGCATTTTGAGCTTTGGAGATGAAGACAGACTAATAATTCAGGATTACTTAAACATGTGCGAATGAAACAAAACACAACTCTGGGTATGTTTTGATGAGATAATAACATTCTAACTTGGTTTAAAGTTCGCAAGAGTCAATTTTGGGTAATATCAGACCTTTAATGATATTGAAATATAATGCTGAGTAATGACAGTCTGAGCGCAGTAAGTGCAGTGTACAGTGCCAGAGAGCTGCTGTCAGTCTGCACCTGGCTGGACGTGTGATGCCTCAGAATCACCTCCCACTCGTCTCTTCTCGTCATATTTGATTTTCATTTTGAGCTGTGGATGCAAAATCTGATCCTTGAGAATAAGTAAAGAAAATACAAACCCAAACTGCTTTCCTGCCCAGTGTCACTGGTGTCAAGTGGTGTGGGACTGTGTTTATGCATCATATTCTGTTATTTCTCTATTGTGTTTTGGCTGATGTGGTCCTCCTGCTTTCTCTGCCGTTATTATTGATCCATCTTATTGTAGTCTGTAAAACTCAATAAGTCATATCTACACAAATGGAAGGGAAAAACTACCTAAATCATTCTTATGCACTAACTCAAAATCCAATTTCCTTTAGAGTCATTGCTCAAACAGAGGGAGGGAAGAAACTGTCTCATATTTTAGAATAAGACAAAGTTTCCAATGTAATTAGCAATTCAACATGAAATAATTTATCTTTTGAATAGTTCTCAAGATGACCTGTAAAAACAAAAGGTGACGTTTTTCAAGTAAGTTGTATTTTTAAGTATAGCTTTATTTCATTGGGTTCTAAAACTAGCAAACAATATTCTTTATGTCATATCTGAAAAAGGCAAACTATTACACCAGGAACAGCATCTGATGTAAAGTTTATGTAAAGTCCATAATTTGATTTGCTGTCGAGAACGGTCATCTGAATTGGATTACTTTCACTTCTACCCAAACTGTGAATAACTGTTGCTTTCAAGTGTTTTTACAGCCAGTCCATTTTTCATTTAAACACCTTGCCCTGTCTCATAATCACGTCTAACTCTCTCCCGTTGGAAGTAGTAGCGTTATCTGGCCCCTCCTCTTTTCTACCTACCACAGCGTCCATTATATCTGTCATCATGTCCTCCCAACATAAGCCAGCAGCCTCGGGGTCTGATAGAGCAGGCCAAGTCAATCATGCACTCAAACACACATAAGCGTACACACCTGTAAAACACTAGCCACATCTCCACACATCTCCACACATCTCCACACATCTCCAGTCATTTACGGCATTATTAACCCGGCCGGCACTTCACACACATGCTCCTGCGCAGTTCAGTGATCCAGCCAACCTCCCTGTCAGGGCCTGATTAGCAAATCCACATGAGCCAATGCAAACATGTTTCCTGCTATTACACATCATGTCACACCACAGACTAATAACAACCACCCGCCCGGGCCAGCTCTGGAGGTACGGCTCCTCTTACTGATACAGCCCTGATCTCTGATAGAGTTCACCGCACTTTGTCAGGTTAGTCAGTTATAGGTCATTGCTCATAGTCAAATGAAATAGTAATACATAATAGTCTTAAACTGTTAATAGAAGCTGTAAAAATGTGACTAAAATATAAAAATGAACACACACACAAATTTTAGGGAAAGTTAGCCTCCTACCAAAGCGCTCTTGTAACACGCAACAATGAAGATGAGCCTTTATTATTATAATTTTTTTTTATACCTGAGAATTGTTCTTTTAGTGAGTTTCCAAAATATTATTAAAAGTCTACATTTATTGCAGCTTGATTGTTAGGAGCATTTTAGTTGTTTTTTTTTTTTTTGCATTTTTGAATCTTTAATATAACAAAAAATGTTATTATACTTTATTTAATAATTAGGGTATTCAAAGAGATTTTCGTCAGCATGTAGTGTCACTGACAGCTGTCATAGCTCAAAATGACGTATTGAAACAACCTTCACAGCTAAAATGTAAAAGTTAGCTGCCAGGTAGTACAAAATTATATATAACAAAAAAGCGAAACAAGAGAAATTCATATTTGGAGAAAAAAAAATCTGGATGTTTTTTTTTTATACATCAAAGTGCACCTGAACTGTGAGAAGCTGCACCACGTCTCTTAACAATTTACCCAGCATGCCACCAGAATAAATGGTAATATTTGAGTACTATACAAGCCTGGCTCTTACCTTACAGACAGAGACAGACAGAGCGGAAGTATCCAGAGAGGCTGAGGTCCTGCGTGCACGACTGGATTCCAACTATTGTTTCCCAGCCAGCTGCTCTCTCCTCTCCTGCCTCTACCTCTCTGAGCTGGATCCTCTCTCTCCTCCCTCCCTCTCTCCCTCCCGCTCTCACCTCCCCTCTGCTGTACTCCATTTTTGTTGTAACACAGAAATCGACAGAAAGACGCAGCATGTAAAGACAGTGGTCACATGTGGATAGTGACAAAGCGGTCATATATTATCAAATGGCTCTTTTCCCAAACACAGTCAAACACAGCAGCTGACTCCCAGACACGCTCCACTGTGGCAAATGGGAATTCCAGGTTCGGACAGCTCTGCTCAGCCCATCAGGAGAGACTGACCAAAAGCTAGTTTTACGAGGCCAGGGTTATAAAACTGTTAGCAGATTTAGTTTATTTAAAAACAACTGGCCCCTTTTCTGACATAAGAGCTGGTGGGTGGTGGGTGGGGGTGTGGTGGGTGAGGGGGACAGAATACCAACATTGTGGACAATATGTAAAGGATAAATAAAAACAGAAAAATGCAATGTAAATGCGCTAATGTTGCATTTTATTAACAATAAAACATAAAGAACATAGCCAAAGCATAGAGCCAAAGGAATAACATGGCCATTTGACTTGGACTCAAGCAAAATGGAAAAGAACATGGTCAGATGAACCAAAAAACCCATTTGACCCGTGATGGACAGAAGTGCTGTTGGAACATGTTCATTTATAGGCTTTTATTATAGCATTTGTGGATGTAATTTAGGTCTTTTTAGCAGTTCTTTTAACGCAACATGAACCGTCATTGAACCGTCATCATTGAAATGTTAGTGTACGTGCAGTGGTTTCATTTCCAACAAAGACATGTCTGTAAAAATGCCAATATCAATAAAGTAAATTTGAAAATTCTGCTTTTTGTACAGTTAGAAATCATGTACTGCTCGGGCCATTTGCTCTTTCATTTTATTTTTGCAGTTGAAGGGCTGATTTAAATGGCCCGTATTACTCTATTTTTGATTTATGTTGTAATGTTGTTTCCTCATCACAAACATACCTAAAGTTGTGTTTTGTTTTATTCACACTTGTTTAACACACAAACCCTGCATATTTCGGCAGAGTTCTGAGTTCTGTTCTACTTTGAGATGCCATTTCATAACGCAGGAAGTGCTCCACTGTGTTTTTAAACTTCATACACTTGCACTAGAATCATTTGGATCATCTTAGTCCTGGAATTGCCAATCTCTACTGAACTGAAGGTAAATGGAGCTGTTAACTTGAAAACAAAAAATTCATGACATCATGAGGCGGAACAGAGCATTTAGAGCTTGGGATACACAGACAGACTAATAATAAAGGGTTATTCAAACAGGTGGGAATGAAACAAAACACAACTCCAGGTATGTTTTTGCTGAGGTAACAGAATTATAATGTAGCTTAAAGCTCACAAGAATTAATTTTGTGTAATAGGACCTTTAAACTAATGTTGAAATGTTGCTGCACATATGTGTATCATAGACACATTTCATGACTCCTTTTGAGATAAAACTATAATAAATTCCAACTGGTATCTATGCTGAAAAGTACCGCAAATGTAATGTTGGAACATGGGAAAGGAGCTGAGAAAATACAAGTATGACATAGCAAAAGAGATCAGCATATCAAAAGATTTGAGTAAAACAACTGATGCATGTTAAGTACTGGAGAATAATGCCATATGTTGTACACATTAGAGAATAGCAGATCCAGCAGCTTGTGATACACATCCCAAATATCTGCTGAAAACACGCAATAGCACATTTTGTTTGTTGGATATGGTCATTCTGAAGCTCTTTTTAACTGACACGGAGCAGGTTGAGGAAGTCAATGGGACATAAAACAAACCTATGCCATCTGGGAAAACAGCTTGTTTCCAAATAAATTTCTCCTCTATTAAGCAGGTTTGATTTGAATAGATGAGTCAGTAATAGGCCAGCGGAGGAACTGATCTAAAATACAACCTGAACCAAAGATAATGCAGTGACATGTGTATTTACCTGTAGTGACACAACAGCATATCCAGTTGTTCCATGACTCTTTTGTTTACTTTTTTTTTATACAGCTTTTGCATCTTTTGTATCTCTATAGATGTTTGGTACATCTGCCTTTAACATTTTTGATGTTTGATCTGTATTCATGGGTTTCAGCTTCCTGTTAATGCCATTTTGAGGAAATTGACCATTCAGAAGATTTATTTTCTTTTGTAAAGTGGATTGTTATGGCAACGGTCCTAACTTTTCGTCATTCTGAAACCCATGAATAATAACATGAGGCTTTTCACTTTCTATTCTGAACTTCGGGGCAGTAGCTCAGTTAGTCGATCTGAAAGTTGATGGTTTGAATCCCACTCCTGGCATAAACATTGTTGGTAGAGTTGTCAGATCCCCTGGCCCACAGGTTGCTGATGTGATCCAGCTCCCATACTGCTGCTGTGTCCTTGGGTTAGACAGCTCACTCCTAATGTCTGCATACATTGTTGTGTGAATGTGTGTGTGACTGAGTGGGTCCTTGATGTAGACCTTTGAGTGCCTTGATGGTAAAAAATAGCATACTACACAAATGTGACAAATTTAGCCAATCCCCTGACAGATGGATAGGGCCATTATACCATTTTTAGTAATTTAAAAAAATAAGTGCTACAACATAGAGCCAATATTTAATTATTTTAATTGTTTAATGTTTTTGCATGTTTTTATATTGTGTTGATTTTATTAGAAAGCACTTTGGTCATTGTGTGTGTTGTAAAGGGCTCTCTAAATAAGACTGATTGATTGTGAGAATGACCCCTTCTTTTAGTCCTTATATTTAGGACTGTAATATAAATTGAATCTGTCTTTATGCAATTACATTGTTTCCTAGTAAATTGCATAAACGATTTTGCGTAATCTTTTTCAGAGCTTTTGCCAGACCCCCTTTTTAGTCGAATGATAGAGTCGATAACAGTCCTACTTCCATTACATTGAATATTTAACAATTGCGACTACTTTGCACCATTTACATCAACACTGACCTTCTGCAGATTTGTTGCGTTCTGAAACTCTACAATGCAACTAACCATTAAAGTCTTTGGCGGAGGTCTCATCTGTAAACAATTTGACGCTGATAGTCTGCCGGTAACTTTTAGAACTGATCAAAACAAGTTGAGTCTAGCTCCAAAACGTAACTACCTCATCTGTCTTTCTCACATGTTTCGGACCTGAAGACAGACTACACAAAACCCAACCTACAAAGAGAAGCAACCTGTGGCCTTCCCCTGCCAAATATCCTCCACTGCACCAGACATCTTGATTTCCTCAGCTATTTCAAGACGATTACACTTCTTGGCTGTTTATTGAAAACATAAGCAGAATAATATCTAAAACTGACAGTGATAGTAATGGTATAATTTCCCAAATGAGGTGTGAAGTAGGAGTTGAGGAAAACGCGGCCAGACTAATAGTTCTGGTCATTGCATGTTTCACACGGATATAAAGCAGGAAAAGGCACGACATGGAAAACTAATGTACTTTTCATAACCTGTCAAATAGTCTGGGAATTGTGGCGGAGGAGAAGGATAGCATTGCCTCAGTCCTGTTGCATGTGTTAAGATACTAGTAGTACCACACATAGCAGTTCTTTTGGTATGTCTCAAATTCTCCTGGGAAATAAGGGGGAGCAGCCTACATCCCTCTAAGTAGGGCTTAGTGGGTCAAAAGTTTAAGAAGCACAATTACCTGTGAGACCCCAACTGACCCTCTGAATTTCTCACTTTCGGGCGCCTCACACACCTTTGACAATAAGAGCCGATTTACAGCCAACAGCGGTGCAAAAAGGCTGAAAGTCTACACCTACACACTCCTATAGAGAGAGGATAGAAGTTGTATTTTGATTATACTTCGAGGGCTTGTAAATGATCACCAGAGAAAATGGTGTCAAATAAAATAGCCATAAGTCAGGCAGACATTGCTTAAACCGGGTCTCCTTGGCAGCTCCATGTTGAGAACAAGAGGTGGTGACAGAAAGCAAATGGCTTCTGATAATGTATCATAATATCGCATTAAGAAAGCATCCAGGGAAGCTTGAAATGTGAATCCCATATGGCAAGTTAGAAAGGGTGGAGTGAGCAAGGAGCACACGGAAGATATATGGACACATGGGGATGACATACCACCTTAAAAGCCGCCTTAAGAAGATGAAAGCTAATAAAAATGTGTGTCTGTTGAAAAGCAAGATTTTAAAAAGGCTAATGAATGTCAGAGGCGCTGATGTGTAAATTACTGTTTAAGATAAAGTCTCACTCTCGCAGCGATTTATCAGTACTTCAGTCTGAATCATCGTTACACTTAGAAATGTGTCACCAGCCACTTAGTGTTCTGGCCCTGCAGCAGTCCACACAGTCATTTAAGTGTGCTTCACATTTCACCCTATTACATTCAATGACAACAAGTGAAAAGTGGAAGTTATTTTGGCTTTGGCTGTAGGGAAGAGACACGAGGGTTCCATGTCCAGGAGGGGGACACTGGACCTGAAAGGACATGAGTGGACCCTTAAGAGATTAACAGGGCAGGGTCACCCACTGCCTCATGGGCGATACTGGCTGAGGTATCGAAAAGTATTCATTCTCATGCAAAAAGGTATTGATGCATAAAATTACTTGCTGTTTTATATTCTTCTCAAGTTTTGAAATATATTGTTTATATTTTATTTAATCTGCGCATAAATTCATTTTTTTAGATCAGTTAAAATTAGACTTACAGTTAGACAAACTTTATTGATCCACAAGGAAAATTACTTGGACACAGTAGCTCACACATCACAATATATTATAATAAAAAAGAGCAACAATTTAAATGGTAATAATAATTCAAAATAAGTAGCAAAAATAACAAGAGACTAGTGTCAAATAAAGCATAATTTTGAAATGTATGTGTACAAGTACAACTTTAAAAAAAACCCTCAAATATAGTAATACAAATACGTCTCTCAAAATGGATGATGATGCCATGTTTATCTTTTAACAGTAAAGGAGCTTCATTGCATTTGAATGTAAAATGCATATTGCTATTGAATTGAGATTGCAACACTTGCCATTGTATTGCTTAGTTTAAGGCTAAAACAAAATGACCCTACCACAGAGAAAAGAGGCAGAGCACTTCACTGGGTCATAAAAGAGTTAAAAATAGCAGTACAGGAGGGTTAAACTAGTAGTCTTAAACAGAAAGTTACCCTCACTGAAAACTGTAAAAGTGGGCAAGGTACAAACCCGAGGCACTCCAACTGAATATATTAATATATTAAAAGTCCGTTATTGCATGAAGGGACGTGTTTCGACCAGCAAGATGGTCTTCGTCAGGGCAAAATGGCCTACTACAGTTTGAAAGGAAAGTATTTGAAAGGATGTAATTTAGATGGATGCCAAACTGAGCTTTTAGACATTGTCCATATCTTGCATTTGTAAAGATAAGAATTTTATTGAGTAAGATCGGCCATAACTCCAATTAGATACCCACAGTTAGTGCTTTTTTTTTTTTTTTTTTCTTTTCTTGACTTCTTGCAGCTGAAGTGTAGTTTGGCCCTTGTTATTACATTCTTGAGCTACTCTCCAAGTATTTATTTATCATTCCTAACCACCTTAGAGCAAGAAACCAAGAAACAATTGGAAGACATTATTAACACGAATGAATAGATTGTGGCTGATGTTAAAACCAAGTGAACACAATGTTTAAAATGTGTGCGGATCTTTACCCTGTAGCAGCTGTATATTATGTTACTAGCACTGCTGCAATTTGTATGTGACAGTGAGAAGACAGTTATAAATAAATACGGAACAGAATAAATGACTAAAGACATTCTTTTTAGACTAATGAATTGCGGTCGGTGTCCTTGCCACTGTAAAAATAAATACAAGAAAATTAATCCTTAAAGTAAATCATTGCACTCTATAGTTTTTAGGAATTAGGATAAAATATATCCAAGTTGCATGTGGAAGCAAGGCCCTGTTATTGATGACACCCGTGGATGTAGCGAACAGCTGCTAATGCTAACAGCCACAGTTTTCAGTGTTTTTGTTGGATTTGGCGCTGTACTTGTCGCCAGTGGCTAATGATTTATGGCGGTAACACTAAGCTGCACAAAAGGAGAGGAAGAGACACATATGGAATCAACATAAATGTCGCAACGCAATTTATGTCTGTGCGGGACATTGTGATCTATGCTTAGAAAGGTGTTACTACTGATTTTAATGGCTACTTCTGTCCAAACTAAACAAGTCATATTTCATAAAGTGCCCTGTTGGTTGCTGCATTATAAAATACAATTAAGGTTTGCACAAAATATAAATGAGATAAAAGTGGTATTCATTTTAGGAGAGATTATAATTTTCAAGTGAAGCTTTTAGAGGAGATTTTTGCCATTAGGATTAGTGTTGTATATTATTAAACTGATATGTGGCCATCGGTCATTCATTAATTATCCGTAAGATGCAGGCATATTTTATTTAAACTGCCCTTACAGTGAATCTTTTGTATTCGTGGCTTTCACAATGATTAAAAATACCATCGTGATTAAGAATTTAAAACAGAATATTATATCTTTTCAATAGGGAAAAAGTGCTGACATTGTCGCATAAAGCAAGATGAAGCTCATGAATAGCAAAACAACAAAACATTCCAAGATGAACGTACTGACAAAAAGAAAAGCTGATCCACAAATTGAAAAAAAAAAAAAAAAATCATTTGAGTAATAGTAGGTAACTTCATGAGCATCTAAGTTTCGGTGGATATTTGTATTTTCCTTTATATGCGGCGAGCTCCTGTCCACTATTTTACACGGCTGACAAATGGGAAGTTATTCAGTGGTTGGGTTTTCTGGATGAAGGATGAATTCATTTGCACAACCCTTTCCCCCTAAAATCCTACTACAATACATCAATATGAAGTGGGGCTCTGTGATCTTCCATTAGAACAGTAAAGCCCGTTTTAAGCAGTTTTATGTGATATGTTAGTGTGGCCTGACTGATGGCACAAAGGGATTCTCAGTCTTCATTTCCACAATTAATTTACGAAAAAGTATCAGAGTGGGCTGTAATTTTGGAGAGATTTGTGTAGAACAAAACAGGGGTGTTCGTCGGCAAAATGTCCTCCACTGGGATCCAAATGTCTAACAAAAATAGTCCCATAGTTGTAATTTACAGCTGGGGTAGAATAACTTTCTCTCTCTCTTTACAACAGGTAAAGCAATGTTATGGCAGCTGCCAAAGACAACGTCTGTTAGATGAGTGTACCAGGCCTGGGCTTGGACACTGCACATTGTTCTGCTCAAGAGACGATATGTTGATATTGAAATAAAAGTGAAAATCAAAGAGAAGCTCTATACTCGTGACAAAGCACACAAATTATTAATGACATTAACATACTAACATGTATGTAACTTCAAAAAGGACAAAAGGGCGATATGGTGCAATAAAAGAATGGATAAGTGTTTCCCTATGTGCCCCTGGGGCAGTTCTGTGTCTGAAATAGGTTCTTACCCTCCTCCACCCCCCTCACTGTGCCAATGCCCATAGGCACAGAGGAATCACAAGAATGAACAGCCTACACGACGCTCAGCTTTGGACGTGACAACCTTCACTCACTGACCTAAAGAAAGTAGAAACATGTGTAGATCAGGACCATCTTTCACTCTACCATCCAAGGACAGAGAAGCTAACGCTGATTTGTACTTCTGTAATAACAAGCTCCCTGCTCCCCTTTGGAGTACTACAGACCCTTTCAAGAGTACTGCTGTAGTCCTGATGTGCACGCACCAAAATGCAACTACACGTCAAGGACAAGACAGTTTGTGATTGATTGCTCTTTCTGCCAGTTAAACCAGTCTGAATTAACACAGGAATAAACAACACAGAAAACACCACATATGTTTGAAACATGCAAGTATAAATAGCATTTGATCAACAGTTTGCCAACCATTACTAGTATGTTTCATAATCATTGGTTCAAATGAGACATAGATATGTAGGATCATGGCTGACCTTCTGTGTTGTTATGTTTTCAACAAATACCATTATTATTATTATTATTATTTTAATTCTAAGTCTCATTATAAATTATGATGTGCAAAAGTTGTTTTTCAAACTCTTATAGTTGATCATTTTGTCAATACAGAACCCAGCAAAATATTGCATTAGCCTTACTTATAGTGGAGAAGCATTATTTATGTAATTTATTTTCTAAAATGATCTTAACCCCTATTTTGTCTGTACTGGAAGCAAACTCAGAGGAGGCCAGCGTGGCCAAGCTGCAGCTCTGGGGAAGAGAGCAGAGCAAAACAACATGTGAGCGCAGGTGCTCTGTGATGAGTGTGTGTCTGTAGCATCCAGTTTTAGGAGGTGCTGTCAGGAGAGGGGAGAGCGGCAGCAGGCCAGTGAACAGACTTCTCCCTCTTGTTCTCCGATATGTGTTTAGACTTCATAGATTAGTCATGACTCCATCAGACCTGAATTAGGCCCTCTGCTCCCATTCGCGTGCATGTGGACAAACACACAGCACAGGCCTATACAACCCCAGAGACTTTTATGACCTTCCTGTAGATCAGCTTTTACAGTGCGCTGTCCAGAGCAGAGCAGCAGTAAAAAGAGGAACAAGGAAAGACAGTCTCCATAACCAGTGACCATGTTTTCTGTTTCAGAGAAGACCAAGAGTCACTCAAGATGTGTCAGAGAACAAAGCATTCTGGGGAAAAGCATCATTTGATGAAGTGACATGTGATGGGCAAATGCATGTTCTTACAGGATACAGCTTTGGTAATGAAAATGTCTGTCGTCGACCATTTCAGATAGATACTAAGTTGATCCTAATTCAAATGGGAATTATGTAACAGTAGGTACAATGACAGCAAAAATATATGGGCTGGGGTTGATACCTTGACATTACTTTGGAAAGTTTTTACTGACCACAACTGGCATGCTCTCTGGAATATCATAAACATCAATCTCAAAAGACAAGATGGACCCTTTGATTAATGTGCATCGACTGCATCTGGCCTGAAAATAGACACCCTACACCTGATAAGACAAACTTGTAGTGCACTGCTATATGAACATATTTGCAGGAAAAATAGTGTGCACCCGAAGAAATGAGGTTTGGTTTACCATTGTCTGGATGTCCTGACTTTAACACAATCTGGCAGGATAAGACAATATATTGTATATAATTTTCAAAAATTATTAATCAAGATTTTAGAGAGACAAATATGCAAATTCTTCATTCCTAATGCCATCGCCTCTCAAAATTCCACCAGATGAGCTCAGGCCACTGCTAAAGTTTTTTATGGTGATGTATTTTTTATGTTTTTATGATGAATGTTGCGTCTTGTCAAGGAGAATTTTCTGTCACCTGCTGGGACAGACAATAACGCTTATCTATCAAAAAGTAAAGAATCCAGAAGACTGTACAAACTGCTTGACTGGACTCATTTGTGAACTATTTTCAAACTGTGATCTAGTCTGAGAAGCTTGTCTTTCCTCTTTCCTCTTCCATGTTCCCTCTGTGTTTCATAGGGGACCAGGGTCAAGCGAGCGTTCAGGAAGCTCCAGTCATAGCTCACAGCCTCCACGTCAGCCTTTGTAAGACTAGTGACTGGAGGGGCTAATATTTAGTATGTGTGAAAGCAGACAGCGAGGACCCGATAATGCCCCACGGTGATGTCATTCTCAGTTTCTGTCCCGGGGCAAAGAGGCCGTGCTTTCTATTCTGTGTGTGACTTACATGGAGGAGATGGTGGGCTTGATCCCTAAAGTTTGACATATCCTCTTGTAGAATTTTCAGCTCAGGATCTGGTTACATGGGGCACCTCAGTCTCAATAGTTTTTATAGCCTAATGCCACACACAAAGCCAAACAGTGACAGTCATGTTTATTTATTTGTCATACTACAAAATGCTGTATTGTTAACTATAAAATGGATCAAAATGTAAAAATACAAAGGTAGAGACAATATATAGCATAAAATAGATTAAGAGCTCAGTAATTCAAGATGTTTTTTAAGCATTTCAACTAAATGAGGTTGTGAACTCAGGCCATAATTCAACAGGTAGTTTAAATAGGAATGCCTTTTAAGGAATCAAAGCTTCACCCTGAATAACACTTTAATGAGCACCATTCACCTTTACATAGATAAGGTTAAGTCCTAGTAATACACATCCTCTGAAATCAATATCAGGTGTGCCCTGTTTTTGGTTTTTAGTTGTTAAAAATATATAAAAATACTTTATATTATTTTACTTTATTATTCACAGGTTTGACGAAGTATACAGAATCTTATATATTATGTATTTGATTTTAAATGATTGTTATGTTTGGATTATATCAAGGATTCACTTATTGCTCACTGACCATCACCAGCCCTAGTGTTAAGGCAGCCTGTTGTACCAAGTTGGGATAGTTGCACAATGCTTAGCTCATCTTATCTCATTAGTGCACTTTCTACAGATTTATTCAATCCTATTACTGCAATATTATGGATAGCCCTTCAATTGCTGCTTGAGTTTTATTCGGTAAACTGTCACCATTACACTGCTCACATGATTCATCCTCTAGTACTTTTTTCTCTGATCAAATTTGCACTGAGGGATGTACTATAATGTGCTGTAATCATAAAGTGTGAGTCAAGGCTGCCCAGAGCTGAAAATATGGTTCTGCTTTAACGGCTCGTGTCTTTAAACTTGTCAAGGAGGTCTTCGTACTAAACCCATATAACATAAAAGCAATCAGATCAAAAAGCATGTGTTGTCTCAACATCCCCTTTAAGCATACCTTCCTTATTGAGAGGATTGCGTCATTTTAGGTCTGAAAGGGTCAGGACTGCTGCCACATCATTCAAATGTTAAAACACTAACTTACACACTATCTTGGTTTATATAATATGACAAGAGATATCACTATTGGTGCAGGCAGGAAAATTTAATATAAATGAATTTTACTGTTACTTTATATGAATCTATGATGCAGCAGTAGTCGGGTCAGTGTTGGCGAGGGGACCTAAGAAGATGTCTTCCAGCATACTGGCATAATTGATGTTTCTTAGCACCACACCACCACTGTCTGAAGTCTTTAAATTGACCTGTAAAAACAGAATTCAAAAATACTTCTTACAGTACATATATTTATAGATGGGATACATCATGGACACAGGCCAGAGGCAAAGACAAAGTAGCAAAGCAAGGATCACACACACACACAGCCACACACAAAGGCACACACAGACACACACAGACACACGGTGTGCTGTTGAAATGTCATGGCGCATATCTCAATCGTTCACCTGTTCCTGCTCAGACGTGGACGTGGCGTGCAGCATGTTAAATCAGTAATATATGGAAGATGAAAGGCATTTCCTCTTTCTCTTCATCTAATGCTCCTTTTCAGCTGAGAGTCTCACAATTTTATGAGTTGTTCTTGGTTATTACCAATGATTTTTTTCATTGTTATGTGTAAATTTAGTACCTGATTTATTTTAATTCATCATACATTTTGCTGGACTAAACTTCAGACTAATACAGTGGCTTGTTTACCTTTAGAATGTCATCAGGCATTACAGGAGCAGCAGGATGTTCAAGCCAATTAATAGCCGTGATGTAAGCGTGGTAGTCAATTTCATCTCCTTGTGCAAACCTGCAGCACATGACCAATGATATCAAACTTTTTACAAGAGACCACCAGTGCTTCGTTTGAACAATAGAAAATATTACATGGTTTGTTAGATAGAAACAGTGTTAAAGGCATTATTGGCAGGCAGGATTTATTTGATAGGAGCTGAAGATGGAGACATTCAACAAACTGACATCAAAGCTGATGAGTTGCCTTGCACAGCATGGCAGCACTGTTGTATATATTGTTTCTTAATATTTGATTTTTTGTTTTCTTACTCCTAAATATATTGCAGCATGGATGTGGTTAGTGTAACATACTTTTGGAGCAGGGATGTGAGCAGATTCTCAGGCAGGGGAAGATGGAAGGCCTTACAGATGGTCCTGGTCTCTTTCAAGGAAAGATGTCCAGTTCTGCACAAAAGAAAACTATTAGTGCTGACAAGTCAGACATACGTGGTGAGATAAGATTTTAGGCATAGAACAGATCATTTATTACAAGTGTCAAGTTGCATTTATTTCAATATAACAGGATAAGTAAAGTGAAGTAAATGAGGCCATGAAGGTTTATGGACCCAGATGTTTTTCTCAACCATGCTGCTGTACAGTCATTCTTGTCATGCCACAGATATTGATGAATAATCTGGAGCTAACAAAGTGTTAACAGAGTAATTTACACTGGCAGGACAGCCTGCCCCTGCACCGACAGACTTTACATAACAGACCCACGCCTTGGCCATAAGGACACGCACACATATACTTGACTTGAACATGACACAGTTCAAAGAGTGACCAAGTGACAAACAAATGGAGGAACGCCATTGTAAAGAATATGTTGACTGTGTCCTGCAGAGGCTCAGGCCAGGCAGGTCTTCAGGGTGCATCTGGTTCCAATGCTCCACTCACACTGCTGGAACTAATGGCAGCTCTGAGATATGGGGCCACTGGCTGAACGATTGATGTCTTGTTGTGACGCTGTGCTCCTTTGTGTGTTTTTCTGCATGTGTTTCTCTGGCAGCCACTTTGGCCAGTGTGTGAGTGTGTGAGAGTGCACCTACTTGTGTCTGTCGTGGTGTGCGAAGGCTTTGGTCATTTCAGAGAAGTCTTCAAAGTGCTTCTTCCTGAGGAAGTCCTGGGCCACCGCCAGCATCAGGCTGACATCCATCTCCGAGTGCTCGCGCTCCGAGAAGCTGCGGGCCAGAACCAGCACCTCATGCTCCGAGAGGCCACACTCTAAGCCCATCAGTAGTCCCCTGTGGCACATGAGCACACACATAAACAAATGACACAAACAAATAGGAACTTTCAAGTAGGAAAGAAGATTTTTATTGCATTTTTTTTGTTCCAAATCTACAGAATCAATCACTTTTGTTGGTGTCCAGTGTCAAACTGGAATATACTGAGTATTTTACTCAAACCTGCCAACAATCTTAAACTTCTTCAGCAACTCTGGTGCCACTTGTAAGTAATTCATCTTACATGTTTGTGGTGATAATGTTTTGGATGAAATTTGTCATATTTTTTAAAAACAAAAATGTTTACTGCATACACACCTGAAGGGCTCATAAGGTATGAAACCAGAATTGCTCGGATCAGTGAGGGCCAGAAATGTCTTAATTTCTTTCTGTTTGTCTTCAGGAATGGAGCGCAATTTGCTCAGGATAGTCCCCACATTGGCTATGGCAAACTAAAAACAAACAGTACATTGTATATAGTTAAATATGTGAGACGTGTGAGTGAGTAATATGTTACAGTCTGAACCTCTTCAGCATATTTCCCCATGTAGTTGAATGTATATTCATCAGCATCAGTGAGCTGAAAGTTGTGGTTGTTGAGACACAGTACAGCTCCAACATAGAAGTCCTGAGCTGTGAAGTACTTTGACACCGCACTCTTGTACAACTCCTGCCCTGGCTTCTTCACGCGGCCACGCTCCAGAAACTTACCACCAAGCACGCCTATGATATTCAAACAATACCAGATTTTGGATGACACAGGATTTAAACAAACATACTATAAGCAATAACATATAATATTGTGGTTACATTCACAAGCTATATTTGTATAAAAAACTTGATATAAAACAGCTGCACAGATAAGAACAGATTTTAGCTGCATTTTAGTAATGCATTTGTCAGTAAAATTATGACTAATGCAGGAATAATTGAAGACTAAATAAAGCAATGACCTTATTTGGAGATTTAGGTGTAAATAAATTAACAAACTATCAACACTACATAATGATGACTTGGTATCAGTACGAACTGAAAGTAAAAATGGCCATATTTGGTTTCTAAATCAGTGCAGTTTATAGTTTCCTTGGTGTTGTTGTTGAAAAGTAAAAAGGGGAGTAGAAAACTGGCTTGTGAGATTGTGATGATATTTTGTTATTTCTCGCAGTATTGTATTTTCTCTGAACTTTTACCTGAGTTTCGCTGTGTTCTCTCAAACACACTGATGGTGTCATCACTGAGGTAAAAGGAGATGATGAACTCTCTATCCTTGTCCACTGGGTTGTCAGTCACCATCTTGGCTACAAAGTTGAGCACATGACTCTCTAGACCATGCCTGTGTTGACAAAAACACACTGAATATTAGGTCTATGTTGCACAACAAAGAAATAATCCATCTCTGCTAACACTCATCTAACCTGTCTTTTGTGATAAATTTGTGGAAGTCTTTTTGCGGGGGCTTGGGCACCAGTCCCTGGCAGGAGCTAAGTGAGTCCTCCTCTGATCCAAAGCCGTTGTAGGGGGGCACGTGTCTGGAGGGCTTAGGGGCTGCAGGAGCTTTGTACTGCACAGGGGTGAAGTCCTCTGAGAGAACAAGAGAAAATGACTTGAAAGAGCATAGAAACCCAGAGGGAAGGAATAATCAGAAGGGCAAAAGCTAATCCATCTGAGGAGCAGAGGACAGCAGCTCACAGTTTCCTCAAACTGCATATGACTGCTCAATTTACTAAAAAGTAGTTAATCCCATCCCGTTATATTCAAGATTTTTTAAGAATAGAATAGGACAAATGAAAATGTATGACATCCTAATTTCTTATTTCTTAAATTTATACTTACACAGTCAGAAAATCATGCTCCTTGCAGATAAATTGTCCTTGAATTCTGGATGGAATTTTGTGTATTGATGACATAAATAATGGGATTCCTTTATAGAACTCACTAGTACTTGCTGTATTTCACCTTCTTTTCCCAACTTTTCTTCAAAATTGCCACTTGACTGGTATGAAACTATGATAATTATTTACCACAGGTACTATCACACCAAAGTGAGAAAAATATTAAGAAAAACATGTGACCCTGTATTAAGATTAACTCCACAGCTATTACACAGAGCGCTACAACACATGGCCCATGACTCCTGGACAGAAGTGACTTAAGGGAGTGACTAATGTTGATCCCATTGTATTTTCTGCTTCATCAATTATTTGAAGGCATAAAAACACTTTCTCCATGGACACATGCAGGAAATCAGTTTATGTTCGAAAATTATTAACAACATTAACTTATGATAATAAAATAATTAACAATATTATTTAGTAGCATAAGTACGAGTGGCAATATATTTTATTATTAATTTATGCAACAAAATTAACCTCTGGCTGTACATTTCTTTAAAGGAATCAGCATTTTCTGGTGTTAGACTTTACTGCCACCAAGTGTTGGATTGGTGCTCTACAAAATGTGTTAAAAATCTATATAACTAAATAAAGAGTAAAAAGCAGCAAATGTACCTATGCCATATTTGCAACGATAGTACTTCTTAGTGAATTCATCGCAGTCGGTGATGACAACTTTCCTGCCCCACACATTCAGCTCAGTGCCTATGGTCAGGTCACAATCTTTGTAGAACTCCTCTTTGATGGCTCCTGTCTGCAGAGGGAGAGGCAAGTATATAATTACAATGAAGACATCACTTAATGCAAAGGATTTGGTTGACATCAAAATGAACATTTCATTTTAACAGTTACAGATTTAATTTCTTTTGACAGAACATTTAAGATTTTCTGGATCTTAAATGATCAATGGAAAATTATGCATAGTCACATTATTTTTGTGTATTTATACATTTGAACATTTAATATATTACTTTAAAATATAACTATGTTACTTAATTTGTGAAGTTTATCAATTATGACAAAATGTATTATTGAAGCACACCTTAAGACTGTCTAATATAAAACGCTTCCCCTGGTCTGATGAGTCAAATACATTAAGGATAGTGCGGTCAGTGATTGCACCGGGCGGTGGGAGTCGACTTGGGGCCACCTGGAGAAATTAAAAATAAAACACACAGTACATTAATGTGAGTTAAACAGTTCCCAGTGCTAGTGATCCAGCTTCTGTTTGAATGACAGAGCTGACACTTTAAATACATTACATTTAACAAAATTATACAGAATAATTAGGTTTATGTTGGTCTGTGAAGGACAAAGACAAAATGCTTGGGGGGACAGCTGAGGTCATGTCAGGACAATATTGAGTGAAAAGGAATGGAAGAAAGATGTTGAAAAGATCACATCTAAGTGGGTAAAAACTTTTACAATTCAAGTCCGGATTAGTTTAATTTAAAGTCAGACACATTGCTGTGCCATTAGCCCTGAGAAACATTGATCTAGGACTATAATGCTGATGTTCTGCTGATGTAATAATTCCTTGTGTATCAGTGTCTCACCTTTGGAAGTTTGCTGCGTCTCAGGAACTTGGATATGTGATCTCGACCACTGTTGGGGGGAATGACTTCACAGATCTCTATTGTGTCATCAGCAAGGAAATAATGTAGGACCAAATCTCTGACATCACCAAACAGGCTCCCTGTGTCATCCCAGTAGCCGTAGAAACGCAACACTTTCATATCGTTATCCAAGAACTGCTTCCGAGTGTCATACTTTTCATAGGGCCTTAGAGGCTTCATACTTTTCTCTATCTGAAAGAATAAGCACAGGTATAGTCATATGGTTTAGTTTAAAATGGTAAAAAATTAAATATTGTCAAGTATCTACATCTTCCCGGAGCTGACTATAGGGATCAACAGGTGAAACTGTTGGTTCGTTCAGAAGCACTCCCAGATTTGTGATAAAATTTCTTGTGAAAGTATCACAATTAGTTATCATAAACCTCCGAGAGTATAGGAGTATCTCTTGGTTAATGTTGAAATGAAAAATATTGTAGAACTGGTCATCGTTTGGTGGTGGAAGTGGGATACGGTGACGACGAATCAGTGTCCCTGCCATAAGACACAACATTACAGTAACAGAACCAAATCCTACACATTTAAGAGTATATATGACATCAACTAAACAGTGCTTCACACCTTGGGGAATACCGCTGTTCTTGAACTCTGGTTCAACCACTTTGATAGTATCATCCTCTAGGTAGAACATGATCTTGCACTTCCGTATTCTGTATGTCTCTTCTTTAGCCTGTGGCACAGTTTCCTCAAAGTATGCATCAAAACACAATGCCTACAACAAAACTGACATCAGAAACAGTTTGGCATCTACATAAAACATGTAACTGCTGGAGCACTAGAGGATTTGCCTGACTCTATGGGACTATGATTTCCACTCACCTGTTTATCAAAGGCCACCCATGATGGTAAATCACTGCCCTTTCCTTTGGGGTACACCGAATACTTGGGTCTTGTGCTTTGACCGGGTAATGGCTCTCCTCCAATTCCTGGTTTCTTGTCGCCTACCAGTAAAGCCACTCCATTTGAAATGTCAAAGTGATGTGACTTGTGAAATGTCTCTTTACTCAGCTGTGTTGTAAGAAAAAAAATGCATTCATATTTTTCTTGCTTTGCCAATAGAGGTTATACACCTGGCATCATAATATTTGGATGTTTGACAGTAAGTAGCAAAACTGTGTCAGTGTGAATGGTGAGTAATGACATTTGCTCCAGTAAGAGCTCAAAACACATCTACTACTCCATAAGATTTCTGGCAGTGAGAACTTTCTCCATGAAGTTGAAAAAGTTGAATGCAGCTCTATGAAACATTGCAAGTAAAGCTTTGCTAGCACGACATTTCTGTGGAGACAAGCAGTTGACCTGCCTCCACCCATAGACCCATGTATAAAGTAGCCTTTATGGTCTAGGATGCATGTTTCTGTAGGTTTTGAATGGAACGAAACCATCACTATTAACTAACCATCAAGAAAATAAAATGCTTCTATTTCAGTTTCTGTTTCGGCTGGAGTCTTACACGAAAGGGCTTTGTGCTAACAGGATTGTTACTCATATGAATAGCTTTACCGATTTATGATTAACAAAGAACATAAATGTCCTTACGTGTCTGTTTTGAGAATTCCCAGGAAGCATGGGTAATGAAGCCATCTCTGTGATGATAAAAAAAAGTAGCCAAACTTCACCCTCGCAAAACGAGAACTGGAGTTACCATGGAAACGCTGTTTATGTATTTAAGTGCGTATCCAAGTTACGGCACCAGCACGCGATGCAGCACCAGCGCCATCTAGTGACAAGTTACACAAACGATTTTCTTTACAACGATTTTCTTTTAATCACAGTTATCTTCTGCATGTACCATGTGACAATTATCTTGCGCTCAAGAAAATACCTGAATGTTGCTTTCATAACTTTATTGTTGTCATCAAACACAATGCAGCACAGCTGCCAAAGCCATGCATACAAACAGGGAGAAGCAGATGAAGAGAAGAGACATGTCACCACTTCTTAAAGGCCATACAAAGTTAGCACTTTGGACATACTTCAGGTTTTGAAGATGAATGATCAATGACTGAGAATATTTGTCCTTATTGTTTACACTCACATTTAAACTTAGTTTTACTCCACATAATTCAATCTCATTTTAGTAGCAAAATAAATAAATAATACTATGAAGGTGGTTCTTTTCCCCCCAAAGGCTATTTGGCTTGCAAAAATATACTAGCAATATAAAAACAAGAGTTCTAAAATCTGGTCAAACCAAAACAACGTAATAAATGTGCCTCTTACATAGAGGTACTACAGTATTCAAATAGAAATGATTGCTGCATAGCTGCATATACACTTCATTATGTTCATCTACTTGCAAGTGGTAAATAAAAAAAAAAGAAAAAAAAAAAAGCATTTTATGATATGTTTCAATAAGAGAGATGATCAATTTCTAGGACACCATTCCAAGCAGAAAACCCCCGACAAAGCTGCCTGTGATAACAATGTTCTTCTTCACAAACTCTGTAGACTGAAAAAAAAAAAAAGACAGAATAAGTAGATATCAACAACTGTAGTACAAAATATTATCTTTACAAATGATTCTTGATGAAACGTAAAAGATATGATATTAAATATTTATATATATATATATATATATATATATATATATATATATATATATATATATATACATTTATAAACATGACATAAATAACATTCATACCTTTTGAAAAACTGTATCCAGTTCTGCTGATGCTTGATTGGTACCTTTCTTCAGTTGCTTCTTAGCTTTATTGACATCCTTTTCTACTCTCTTCCAATCCACTTGAATATAGCCACTATTATTTGCTATCTAAAGAAAGAAAATATGTGTAAAGCAAAAAAGTGTACAAAGTCATGTTCTATGTGCCCATCAGCATAATTGTGATTGTACCTGTAACATCAGAAGACCTCCACCAACAGCCGTAGCAGCTACTTTGCCAACCTTCTGGAAAAGGTATCCTGCGCACCTACACCAAACAGATGGTAAATGTGACTGCAATCTGCATTTTAATTGTAATGTTATTGTAAATTTGAATTTACAAAAATTTACAAACACTTTAATGCATTCAAAAGGCAGGGGTCTATTTCAGTAGGCAACTTATTGATAAGTTTCAGTTTCCTGTTATAGACAGGCCCCTCTCCCCCATCTGGAATTATGACATGATCAAATACTTGAACATGAACCTATAAAGTATATAGTCCGGGACTATGTTGTCTTTCAACAAATATGGGCAAATGTCAATTGTCAAAAACTTGTAATAACATAGTATTTAACAAAAAGCAGTTAATTACCATCCACTGACTCCACCTATAGCTATCTGTGTAGCCACTGAGTATTTCTCAGCTACAGGCCCAGAATTTTTTCCAAAGACTCGATTCCACCATCTTTGGCGTTTGGCATATTCTGTCAGGTCTACGACCTTGTCGTATATCTCATCTTCTAGATCTGTGGACAACGAAGAGCAGCACAAGTATTACATAAGATGGCATTTAGCTCATCACCTAAAGCACTTAAACTTCAAAGCAAACATTAATGCAGTCAGTTATTGTAAGTGTCTTATGCATACAGTCAGTACACTTGCAAAAATGTGCAGTATGAAGCCTGTAAAGTTATGTTCGTAACTTGGAACAAAGTTTATGGCCCACTAGCAACTTAGCCGAACACAGAACGAAACTAAAAACAGTCCATTTATATGAAGGCATGGCGAGCAGTAATTGACAAAACTGACACGGAAAACAAGGACTTAAAATGAATGTCTCTCACAGTTTAACTTATACAATATCTCGTTAGATATATTATGGGGCTTTTGAGGCCTACTTACCCTTGTCACGGTTCGCCATTTTCCAGATAGCTGAGCGTCTTGTGTCCTTAGCTGCCTGCACGTCTCATTTGCATAAATGTGTGAAGACGCTACCTACCATAAATTATTAAGGGTGCTACATGATCACTATTTATCATTTTAATTTAAACAAATAATGTCATAAATCGTTTTATGTGCTTGTGTGAAGACGTAGGGTAGGTTTAATATGCAATATTCAATAAAAACGTAATAATTGGAAGTATACTGAATGTAAATGAGCAATTACTAAAATGTAATGTAATTCATACAAATAAATATAACAAAAATAAAATCTAACTCTTTGTTATCTTTAACAGAACTCAACATGACTGACAGCTGCATTGGCCATTCAGAGGCGTAGCAGCGCTGTTGCGTAATCCTAATGTCAAGTAAATATCCAATGGCTAAGCGGAGGCGGGACTCTGTGGCTCTCGTGCGCGTGTTCGTAGCACATCCACCACAGGCAGTCATGTGACAGTACACACTGGCCGCTGATTGGCCAGTGTAAACCGAGGGCGTGGCGAAGGTGGCGGCGTGCGTTTGCCTAAGTGACACAATTACAACAACTTTGAGCCGAGGGTTGGGGAAGTTTACGATAATATTAAAAAAGACTCAATGGTAAAGCCTAACATAATATCAACTCCATGCACACATTGGCACGTTGGAATGCACGCGGTGGTTTGATGAGGATGAGGGTGGAAGGTAACTTGAAGGGATCTTTTCCTTGAGGATTTGGCAAGAATTACGCTACGCCCCATTTAGCCCTGGAGAAGGTGTGCAGCCGTGTTCTTTTTACATTTCGCTGGAGTCGTTTGATTCACTTGATCTTCCCATTTCATTGCCATGAAATCGTGCGGAGTGTCGCTCACCGCTGCTGCCTCTGCTGCTGCACAGAGCCTTACTGGTAATGACGAGGAGAAAATGGCGTCGGGAAAAGCAACTGAAATCGAAGAGGACTTTCCAAAGCTAACGTCGCAAGAGAAAGATACTGTGGCTGGAATTGACAGGTTTGAACAGTTCTCTTGTAAACAAATCAAAGTGAATTAAAAATATTTCTTAGATTCCATTGCTTGGCATAAAACAACAAACACGAGTGCCCCGAAGTAATACGGAACCGCCTGTGTTGTCCTCTGCTTGCAGTTCACTGTTTGGATTTCATAGGCTTCAAGAAGATGGCGCCAGAACGAAGGCCTTGTTGTTAAAGGTATGAAACACAGAGGACCACATGAGATGGTCTGTCCAGTGTTTAAATCCTAAATAAAGTGTCTATCAAAGTGCCATAGTTTCAACTAAGATGATTTATTTATGTTTTACATGCTGCAAGAAATGCTTCTCTCTTTATTTAAAAATAAGCCCAAACTATTAGTTTCACATGTTTACATTACAGAAGGAGTTTAGACACCGTAATTGTCCTCTGACTAATATTTTATTAAAACAGATACCATTTATAACAATTCGGCAAAACAGCTCCTTGTAACGTTGGGCATTTCGGACCATATGTTCAGGGGGTAATGCTTACACACGTTTATTACGGTCTCACTATAAAGTACACATTTCGTAGCAGATGCACATTGATGATAACAACACATTTCTCATGAGTGATGCTAAAGGACAATTTATGCAAGGTTGTTGGACCTCTTGTTGGATCTCACTCGTTTCATATTATTATTTCAAACGGTAAACAATTGTCCACAATGTGAGACATGCATTGGAATATGTTCAGCCTCTCAAATAGTTTGTTAAGCCTCACTGTCAGACAAGTCAATGTGAACACGTATCGTCCGAGTAGTATGAAACAAACTGAATTGTCAGCTGTGTTGTTAACTCTTTTGGAGTTGAGCGTGTGCGTCAGCTCGCACTGATAGCAGTAGCTGCTAACTGCCCAGCGCCTTTCGTCATGCTTTTTCTAAAGTGTAGGACATGTGTGCCAGCACACAGTGTAATATACGCTTTTTTTAAGGAAAATTCAGTGTGCGTCCCCTGAATTGTGATCGTAGGATAGAAACAAGATGACAATATCAGACAAAAGTAACACTAACATTTGCTAGCTAGTTTACTAGCATCCACGACACAGCTAGCCTAATCATCATTCAATTAACGTTAACGATGTTTGTCTTATATCAAATTTATTTAGTTATTGTTGGAAAGTCAATTTGCAGCATTTGTGTCACATTAACACGTTTGTCATACTACATGCTTCTAGCCTTCAAAATGTATGTTTAGGGATATATCCATGGTTTTCACAGTGATGAAAAATTAGGATCGTTGCCATAGCAATTAAACATTTCGAATCTTCTATCTTTTGAATGTTGAAAGGTTCTCCACATGTTGCTTATAGTCTAATCAGAAAGCCTAAACCCCATTGCCCGCAGCCTAGTTGTGCACTTTGTGTTCCAGTCTTTCAATTAAAATGTTTGATGCTGTTATTTAAATTTGAATCCTGACAGTCATGGCTGGAATAATGGCAGCAAAGACCAACCATTTCTTCACTTTTTATTGTATCGGCTATTTGCCTTAAATCTCCAATACAGGGCAGTATTTTGTTTTTGCTACCTGAAGAATATGCATAAAGCTTTATTTGAATACTTTAGTGCGATGAGATAACTGTACCAAATGTGACTAAACAGCTCTCTCATAGATTTGTAGTAAAAAGAGCTGTGGGTGAATTAGTAGTAAAATGAAATTACATTATTTAGGGAAAATGATCAAAATCTGTCCAAAAATATCAGCAGAGCTAATTGGACATTGGTTGCTCTCATTCTAAAAAATCTTATCATCATCAGCCATGAAAAAAGCCATATCAGCGAATCTCTAATAAATAAAGTGTATACTTGCATGACAAGATTTCTCACAAGGAATGTTTCTCACAAGATTGTTTGACATTTAGATTAGACAAAATAAGGATTAAATAAGTGCTGAGGAGTTAGACCTCTTGAAACACTGTACTTCCAAAAAGCTGTGTTACAGTGATACAATGCAAATATGAAATAAAATAAAAAATGTTGAGGTCAGTATTGTGAATACAATCAATCAATTTATTTATCATGAATTTTGTCAAAATCTTGTCTTGCCTCCATACAACCAGTAAAACCAGGGCCAATAGGTTGCATACATGTTTTAGCATAATGTCAGATGGAGGGCAGGGGCCTATATAATTCTATGGTAGATTCACAGTTTTTAATAGAAATATTCAAAGTTGAAATCTACAAATATTTGTTAGGAATCGCCTGCACAAACTTGCTATGCTCATATTATGGCTTTTAACAAACAACAGTTATGTCTTTAAATTTAAATAACAGCACCACTTAGTAGCTGAGGCTATTGTGGTAAGTAGTTTTGTTTATGTTTAGTTGGAGAAGATGTTTAACTTTGTGCCAGTTTTTGTTTAATGAGAATAAGCCCAATTACAGAGCTATTATCCACATATCAGGTAAAAAAAATCTGCAATCTGACAGTTATATCTGACATGTAGCTAACCTGCTAGCTGCTGTGTGCCATGAAGTGAGCATGGGCATGTTTCTAGCTCCATCGAGTCTGGGTCCAATTCATTTTTTTATTGAAAAAACAGTATTATTAAAATCTCACTATAGAGGCTGTGACTGAATGTCCACACTATTCCCTACATAGGGCGCTAACCCCACAATCCAGCAAACATGGTAGCATCGTGCACTGAGAACATAGAGTTGACCCCTGGCCAATATAGGTCACAATGCCTTGCAAGAGTCGTAAAAACAACAGTGGATAAACCACTTATGGTGGAAGCATTTTGGTCTATAACTTAGTGTAGGCATATTTCAGAAAGAGTCCATTTGTGCTTTCATATTTACTATCAAAGCCTGTTGTTTGCCATGGCCAGCAGACAGTAAAATTCAAGCCTGTTCAGTTAGTTATTTTCACTGTAAAATTGTTACTATGTGGCTATACGCACACAGTCAAGTTTGAACGGCTTGAACTAACAATGCTCCCAGTGTAAATGTAGTCACTGTTGTCCACATGTGCGTTGAAACCCCACAGTAGAACAGACAAGGGTACAACAGCCACAACAACTGGGGTCTCCCAGTCTGTGCACTGTCTACTATCCCCCCAGGGAGTCAATGGACACCTGACTATGCACTGCTGTTTGGCCCCTAGGGCAACACAGCAGTCAGAGACCTATCTCCAACCCGTAGGCGCACCTCTGTCTTTTTGCTCATCACTTTGTAGGCTATGGCTCTATTCTCATGAAACAGGGACATTTCACTCGTGAGCCAAAGGCTTTTTGCTTCTGATGGATTTGAACTATGTTTGAACCCTGGAGCGTGGTGGAACTGAAGCTATCTAATATTTGTAGCCAGTAAGACTCAGTCTACTTATTCATCAGTTTATAGGCTTCAGTTCTGTTCTCATCTGCTCTGTGGGACAGAGGCTGATGGCTTTGGCAAGGAGCTTGTTGTAAAGGGACTGCAGCAACATTTTCCCAACAGTGGACTCAGTGCATCCACCTCCACAGTCTTTCAACCAGGAATACTTTATATCAAATATGTTGAGGTAAACTTTAACACCCATCAGTGTTCACTGGCTTTTGTCTTGATGTGTGAGCAGGTTATCATCTCTCCATACGGTTCATAAGATAATTTATGGGAAAATCATTTGCTTAACTTGCGACTCTGCAGAACATTTTTATTGAAGGGGGCATGTTCTCCATAAGTTTCAACTGTTGCCAAACAATTGAAAAATTGTCAGAACAAAAACGTAACTGTTTCGGTTCATGTTGTAGTGCAGTAAATGTAACCTAATTTTGGTTAAACTAATTATTGTTGTTGTGGATGGTAAATAGGAAAGGCAACTAAGGAATATGATGGTTCTACATTATATTGAGAAGTGATCATATTTCACCCATCATCATCACAACTCTAATCCAAGATGTGCCTTTTCTGGAAAGCATTTTTCTTTGCATGCTGCCCTGCTGTTTACACTCATGCTCAATTTCTGTTTGCGACGTTAAGCTACAGAAGCCCAGAGAAACCTGCTACGGGGTGGAGGCGTAACACTATAACTATATAACCTAAAACAACAAAACAGTATTAATTGTTATTCATTATTATAATTTTCTCTTTTTTGTACATTCACTTCTTGGATTCTTACAATAGGAGATGTATTTACCTTGTTGACATGTTTTGGCTGCTAGCTGCAAGCCATTTTCAAATCTGTCACTGGTGTTGGTGGGGACGTGTTATATATCAAAGTTGTTCCAGTCTGTAGGCATGGTC